TACGCCTCCAGCTTCTCCTGCAGCCGTTGCGATCGTGGATGTCCGTTGTTGTTCACTACCTTGCTGTGGAGCGGTGATTGATGATCGTCTCGAAGAAGTGATAGCCAGAGTAAGACAAAGTAATAGACGCACGCTCATGTGGCGGCGAGATCGTTGAAATATTCTGACGTTTCCTAAGGCACTTGTCGTGCCGCCATGTCTCCGGCATATGGCATTGGAGGCGCATTTCCATGGCAGGGTATCGCAAGAAACCACTAATCACATTTACGGCCATGCCATTATGCAATATATCGGATAAAACACGTACTGTCATGCGTTTAACAGACTTGGCTAATTCGTCTGGTTAATACAGCAGTTGCAGCATGAGTGGTAGGCAACCATGCAACAACCCGACGGAGAACCCGCCCGACGACGAGCGACACCCATACCAACTAAGCTGCTGTTGAAAACGCCATCTACCGCCAGACTGCGCCGCATCGCTCGTCAGCCCGCGCCATCAGCTGTTCCGCCGCCGGCACGGACGGCACGGACCACGCGCGGCCTGAATGCCGCCGAGCGGTCACATCTGGAGCCGACGTTCGGCGCCGCCCTGCAGGGGAACACGACCAACCGGGAGGTATGGTCAAGGAGCATAAAGCCACACGGAAGACGCGAGACGTTGGAAACTGTGAGGGGCTGACATCATTGGTTCCGTGGCTGGCTGAGGGCCGTTCACAGCGTGGTTTAGGCGGTAAAACTTCACTTACGGTCACGCACGGTGTATTTGAGAGGAGCATTTTAGTGACTGAGCTTTTTCTTAACGCTAACCAATGACCTGTCTTCTTTGTTTCACCTTGGACAACTTGTCCCGTTTGCCGACGACTCTCAGTTTTCTGATGGAAATGCCTCTCACAAAATTTAAAACGAACAAGGCAAAAGGTCACAAATTAAGCCTACCTCCAGTGAAGGTTCTTGGAACCGTTACTGACGCTAACGTTAATTGGGGACGCCAGGTATTTGCCGCTGTAAAGAGATGTTATTACACGTTGGTAGGTCTTGCCAAATTGAACCATTAGTTGCCATTTGGAACACGACATGATGGATTAGAACGACTCGTTCATCTCTACATAAGATACTGCCTCCCAGCGAGGATAGCTTCTCTCAAACGGAGAATAGAATTCAAAGCGCACTAAATATTTGCGCGAGAATTGGCGGTATAACCAATAAATCCAAACACAGCTTTGACGCACTGAAAACGCTCCGGTGACTCGGATGACGCAAGATGACATGATATCATGTGACAACGATCAACACCCAACACACGTCTGTCCTTGATGCGCTGACAGTGTTGGGATCTGCTACGGCTAGTTTGGACACTTATGTAACCGGCTGGATTAATTTCCTCGTGGCGTGATGAGTGGTATGAATATGAATGAATGATGAATGAACGGACCAGACGGCACCGGACGAGCCAACAGGACCGAACAAGATTGGAAGGGACCGGTCCGGACCGGACAAGGCGGCACGGCGCTGTTCGGTGCGGCTGAACGGGACTGGTCGGAACCGGACGAGGCCAGACTGCACGGAATTGGATGGCATTAGGAGGACTTGACAGGACTGGACGAAGCCGAATGGTACCAGACCAAGCCAGCCGGAACCGGACGGAGCCAGACGATACTGGAGTGGACTGTATACAACCAGAAGGGGCGGCGTGGGGGATGGCACCCATGCGCGGCAAGCGGGGTGGGGGAGGGGGCAGTGAGAGCAGCTTACCTCCACCCCAACTGAAAAGCTGGGGGGTCAAGCAAAAGTCAATTTTTGCCTTTTTGTCGAGCTCTGGGCCATTAAGGATCCCTTCTGACCAAAAGGGAGCAACTTTGGGCATGACGAAGACCCATTTCGGATTGTAGAACCCCTTTATGACCTGTAGACGGCCAATTAATGTCTGTGACGAGCCCATTCTGGCCTGCGAGGTGGGCGCATTCTGGCCTTTAGAGGGTCATCCGTGCCTTCAAAAGGTCTCCTTGCCGTCCTGAAGATGGCTCATTATGACATGCGGACCCATTATGCCCTGTAGAAGTTCAGTCATTCACTTTAGTGAGTTTCACTCCATTCTGAGTTGCAGAGGGCCCGTTTGGCACTGTGGGGACCCACCATCTCATCTCAGAGGACCCATTACGGTGTTTTGAAGTCCCCATATTCGAACATCGTTCCCGCGCACCTGCACCTATCCCCCCTCGGCTACATTGTCGTATGTTGCGTGCGTAACGTGACCAGTGCGGCGGTAAGTGGTGCACCACAAAGCTGGGCTGGGGCTGGGGCTGCGTTTGTGAATGGGCCTGTGACTGGGCCTGGGCCTGGGCCTGGGACTGGGGCTGCAGCTGGGCCTGGGCCTGGGAATGCGGCTGGGCTTGAGAATGGCACTGCTGCTGGACCTGGGCCTGGGACTGGGGCTGCACCTGGACCTGGGAGTGGGGCTGGGGCTGGCATTGGGGCTGGGGCTGGGTCTGGGGCTGGGGCTGGGCTGCGGCTAGAGCTTGGCATAACATGGTGAGGGGCCGCGGATCTGGTGTAGGCAGGGGGCAGTTATTCCCTGCTTAATCTGGGCAACATTAAAAATGGCTGCAAAGCACATCACGAAAAGGCCAAGTTATGTCAGCCAGACCTAGCCTTCACAGAGGGTCCGCCACAATCGGGCATGACACGAAAGGTTCAAAAGACGTAACCGGGGGAGGGGAGGAAAGCGGTAAGGAGTAAAAAGCAACTGAACGGTACAGAACATGCCAGGACGGCAAGAGTGGAAATGCACCGCGTAAAACAGCGCGGGACACGAGACAGCAGGATGGAACAGGGCTGGAGATAACGGCACAAGGCAGGGAAGCAGACGATAGCACAGTACGGGAGACAACAGGATTTCAGGACTGAGGGGAGGGCTTAATGACAGAGAAGTGAGTTGAGAAGGTGTTTGTCGTAAGTAAGATAGATTCTAGGCACACCCGACAGGTTCTAGAGACAACAGAACAGATCAAGCCGAAGCCAACACAGCGGAGTGCAGCCCGCCACAGCACAGCCCAGCACAGAATATGGCACAGTTCAGTGGTGCTTGTCAAGATAAAACAGGACTTACCTGAAAGACTACTTCAAAGGAGACCATTCCATCCAACCCCAACGCAATTAATGCATGAAACCCGTCTCTTGCACGTCTTGCACGTTCTCGCCTGACTCGCGTACTATGCCGTTCGAGTTACTTATCATTTGAAGGTGAACATAGTGCATTCGCATCTGACCTACGCCCGCGAACCGTGTCCATCGGATGAAATTAAGAATGTCCAAAATCACACCTCCTCAACTTTCCCGAAATCGCATCTTCTCAAATTTCTCGGCTTACTTATTACCATCGGCATACTATCAAGTGAAAAACCTGCCATGTACAATACAATTTCTCTGTTTCGCAAATATGTTCCTCAACATGTATTTGCTTGATAACGTCATCATATCTCACGCAGCGATGATTGACAGCCAGTTGATGGCCGTTGCATTTGGAATCATATTCAAGAATGCCGGATATAAGCCAGTCGACAATTACATTTTCCTAGGCTTTGATCTCCCGCATAGCCAAAGGTATGTCAACATTTAAATTACATAATCATGGCGTCATGGATGCTTGAGTGACATGGAAATTGTTTCCCCGAAAGTCTGCACTTCTTGGCCGTCATGTAGCTCAGAAACTTGAAGGACTTACGTTTGAAGAAGGTCAGGGCTGTGACCTGCACCAAATGACATTCCGAAGGCTATTTTAATTTAAAATCCTTATGATTCGTGTACGTCCTGTAACTGAAACAAAAGCCAGGAGTCCACGAACGGTGCAATTTTTTGGTGTTTCAAAGTTATCAACTGACGAAATTAAGGTATTCAAGAACTGCATCGGAGTAACCGTCGGCGCCATTTGGTTTCTTAATGATTCAGTGGACCCGGTTTTGACCGATGGCAATACGGGCTTTGTTGTAGTTGTTCAGGGTTATACAGAGATATTGGGAACCCCGCGTAATCAAGGTTAAGTGTAGATCAAAATCGCGTGGAGCATTTACACTGACCTGGCAAATCGATATTCGTCTGGGCGCGTTCATCTTTCATCAAGAATGAACAAGTTATGAAGTTGCATACTAGGTTTGACCATGTGCCCAATGATTTTAAGCCATTCGTAGACGCTGCGCAGGTGACGATGCCGAGAATGGCGGCGACTGTCGAGGCCATGACAGCCGTCATCTGCTGCCTGCAGAACAGCATGACGCCTCCTTTTGGGCAGGCCGGTCATGAGCGTAAATATGACATATGACATACGACGTAGACTAGGACATACCGTATCCCAACACGACGAGCTGACCTGTGGCGTACCGGACTACGACACGACGACCCGATTTGACACGGACAGGCCCGCTGTTGCTGTCTTTTGTCTACTGGCTAACCGTCTTAAGCGCAGGTCATAATGCGTGTAACTTGCCTTGTATTTAGAAGCATGACTTTGCGTAGCACAGCGAGTGACTGCCAAAGTGGCCAGGGCGTTCTCGACAGCAGTGAACTCAGCGTCAGCGTGACACTGTGACACGTGACTGCCACCACTCCGCAGATAACCTGACCCTTGCGAGCAGGAGCTAGTATCCTTGGCGTCAGGACAAATAGCTGAATTTCAGCATTTTCCCAGCTATTCTGAAGATACCATGCGAATTACGAACCTTTCAAAACGTACACATTCGGCACTTACCTTTTTCAAATCCACAAAATCAGCATGAAAGTGAAACCATTTCTGGGAAACTCGGCATACAAGGCCAACACGCCACCAGTACATTATCCTTAAAGCAGTGTCCGAGTTATATCAGTTGTCATCTTCGGCGCCAGTTTTACTCATGACAACGTTTCAGAGACAACTGCCACTCGCAGGTACACATTTTCCAACTGCGAACAGCAAACCATCCCTGATCAGGCTCCAATGGCGTCCACATGCTGGCACGCGCGCCACAAAATTAGAATGGCCCCACTTCTACGATCACGTGCACCTTGACGCGCAGGTCGCCGCCGACCTCCGTGACAGTTGTCTGAGCGGCAGGCTGTGCAGCACCGCGCTTCGGACCGTCCATCGCTGCCAGAAGCCTCTGCACGCTTCTTACGCCGCCCAGCTTCTGGACCAGCGCCAGCAGCTGCCGCAGCTCTTCCGCGTCAGTGACTTCCTTGTCGAACATCATCTCGGTCACGGGCGTTGCAGTTGTTGCGGAAGGCACCATGACCGAGCTCAATGAGGTTGCCGGAGCCGAGGGTGAATGCATGGTTCGTGGTCCCGCAAACGGTGCGGGAAATGTCGCTACTTGAGGTTTGGTCGTCGGTGGCATCTGTGCACCAGGTGTCGTTTGCCCCATTGGTCTTAAAGGACCAGATGTGGACGGAGATGGTGTTGGAGCGAAGGCGGTGACGCCAACGAGAGGTTGTTGGACACACGGAGCATCCTCGTCGCAAACATCTCGCTGAGGATCGTACCTCTGACCGTCTTCGCAGGGGAGCACTTCGAACAAGCCTTTGCGGCAGACATAAAACTCTGCGCAGTTGTCCATCTTTGCGAACCTGCCGTCCGCTGGGCACGTGAACACCGAGGTGTTGTCGTAAACGGGCGTTGGGGGCGGGCTGGGCGTGGTAGGCGGCGCCATATCATTGGCAAACAGACCCTCATTCAAGGCTTCAATCAGAGGATAGGGCCGACCGGTGCACACTCCACGGAAGTCATCCTGGGCGAGTGCCCACACTGCCGCTCCGCCCAAGCCCTGCTCACGTATGTAGACGCCCTTTCTTCGCATCATGACTTCGTCGTCGTAGGCCACCCACTGATCACCTTCGACGGCGTAAGGGCCGACTGCGTCCGGTCGCGGGCGGAACGCCCGCCAGCCGTCCATGCTGATGTGCTCGCAAATCTCAGTAAAGGATAGAGTACCCGCCAGCCTGGTGTACTTGCCGGCGTAGCCTACATCCTTCGTTGGAGCTCCGAAGCCTCGACGTTCGGCATCTGCGAGAGTGAATGTGATTCCAAAAGTAGGAACGCCCATTACTAACCGAGCTGGGTCTGCGCCGGTCTCCTTCAACATCTGAATGACAAAGTCCGCATAGTTTGTGTCGTCGAGATCGGTAGCGTGCAATGCAGCGTGGTGCGCCGTTTGATTCTCGGAACCCGTATGAAAGGTGTACAGCATAGCGGTCATGTAGTCGACAGCTTTAGAAACTCGACCGACGTCAAACCCATTTCGTATTTTGGTAATGTTGGCCGGAATTGTGGTGGTCAGAAGTAACCTGTTCATGCGTGATTCTTCGGCTTCCTCCATGAAACCAGCAGCTAGAGCTTCCATGAGCCTAGCGTGTTCTTCCTTTTTCCCTTCCACCTTCCAGTCAATGTCAATGCCGTCAAATCTATGCCTTCTGATGTATTTTATAGTTTCCCTTACAAAGCGCTCGATCTTGGCTTCATCGCTAGCCAGCTCCAAAAAGACTTCTTGCTTTACCTGTCCAGATCCTCCTAGCATCATCAGTACCTTCAGAGCCGGATTAGCTGCCTTGAGGGCCACCATGTGCTCATATCCCTGCTGATCAATATCGGAGAACTTATCGGCCGGGCCCAACTCCTGTTTATCATTGGCGTTGACGACTGCGTAGTGCAGATGGGTGCAGAGGTGCGGGTTGATGTTTTCTGGTGTGAACTTGGCGATGGAACTTCGATACCGCGCCCAGCTGGTGTAGTAACAGACCAGCCGGCTCGGGATGTCCTGAGCTACGCATACTGCTGCGCACCAGCACAAAAGCACCGGTGTTAACGCCTGAAACATGAGCCAGTCGAGGATCAGCGTGCCGGGCCGCTTTAGGCTGGGCTCACCACCCAAGGTCACGTGGTAGATGATCGCTGTGCGTTGTGAGCATTCTCCTTGTCTTCGTACTAACCCCGATTTACGAGCATTTTTCACCCTGAGACAGGTTCAGAGCTCCTGTTTCTCATCCTGAGATGGGGTCGGCTCTCAAAGGCCGCTCTCTCACTAGAGTCTGGAAAATTGAGAATGCTGGAGTCACGGAAAACATTTGGAGGCTGTCGTCAAAATCTGCGCGAAAAGTGTGATGAACGATGGTAAATGTGACCCCTGATAAGTCAAATTAGGTCATGGTAGCAAAATTTCGCAGACCCCTCCTGTTATCAAAATAACTATACAAGCTACGGCAAAGCGGAAGACGGCGTTGAATAGTCCCTGCAACATCCCAATCAGCTGATGATAAGTGGACGTCGACAAGTGTAACGTGCGATATGCCAGGTCAGGTCAAGGGAGTGACGTCATAGAGCCTCAGCAGCCGAGCATATCGTACAGCCCAATGCTTCCCTCGAGGTGAAGGCTTTTGTTCAATTGGCCTTGTCGTCTATATCAAGAGCTAAACAAGCCACGCTACAGAAGGAAGTGTTGTCAAAAAGCGCTTACGGCGAAGGTTAAAAAATCGTATGACCGTACGCCGTATGATGTAATCGTGTGACGTACGACGTAATCGTATGAAGTTGGGCGTAATCGTAAGACGTACGGCGTAATTGTATGACGTATTGCGTAATCGTATGATGTATGACGTAATCGCATGACTATGATCGTACGACTTATGTCGTAATCGTATGCCGCATGACGTAACCGCATGACGCATGAGGTGATCGTATGACGTATAACGTATAAAATCGCATGACCTTGCAATGGCTAGATCTGGTCATAAATGCTACAGTTTGATCTGGCGACTTCCGATATTCTGACCTAGCGACAGGTACGAGGATAGTTTTGTTCAGTTAAGTTATATTATGCCCAGCAACACTTATCCATTTGATAATGAGCAAGAGATGGACAGTCCAAAACACCTCCTTGGCATTTCCAAGAACAAAAGCAAGCCACAGGTCAAGATCACAGATCTGTCAAGCCCAGGCAGGTCAATTTCATAAGCAGGTTTAGAAATTACGTAAACTCAGCTAGTCAAAATTACAGCCCCGAGCTGAAGTGAATGTTCTTAAACATGCAGGTAAGAGTTTGGACCTTTTGGATGGGTCTAGTTTTTGTGATATGTGTGGTTAATATCAAGAGACTCGTCACCCGCTGGAAGACGAGACGTCCTAAATTTATTCGATGTGTAACGCGTTGTTCTCTGTCGGCTTCAGATGCTTCATAAGAGATCAATTGGTGCTCGACGTTCATCTCTGCGTGTTTGCTGAAAACTTGCCTTTCGTCACGTGATCCGCTAAATCAAGCCGTGTAGTCTTCATCTCGACCAGAGCGGCAGCGAGTAGGTTTTGGCATTTGACACGTAAGCCTGTCACCCAGTCAGCGGTAGTCTCCATGTCGTGAAAAAGTAGAATAATGATATAATGCATCGGTTAAGTTGTCTTACATAGATTCGTGTTTATTTGCGCTGTTGCCCCGTGACTGGGCAGCCTGGCATGAAATTGGCAGCCCACAGATATCTGACCCGAAACAGAATGTTAGGAGTTGGTGAATAGGCGCAGATTTATTTCATTGCATCATGATGATCTGAGGCGCAACATGATTGGACACGTCGTTTTAACATGCTGAGTTCCAACATGAAAAACAACGGCGCAGTCCTTATGACGTGCAATGCAAAAGTCAGTTATTAACAATGAGCCGCAAAGCTGATCCTGGGTGGGCAACATTTGGAAATGTCGATGACAGTAAACTTCTGAACTTGCTCTCCAATGGCTTCTCGAGGGAAAATGGTTAGGGGGTACGCAATACAGCGGCAACCTGCAAAACGGCCAGTAATTCAGACTGATCCAACGCTTTACAGCGGTAAGTTGGAGATCTTGCGTCAGCTATTCTCGGTCTGACCCGCGGGCCACGCGACAAAGCGCGTTTGACAGCTTTGTTGCAAGGTATCTAGTCTGGGCAAATTCGAGCGCAAGAAATACTATATGGCACTGTGGTGTGAGATGCCCTGCGCGTGCAGGCGGTGCTCTGCAACTTTCGTCGCAACCTCTGCCTGATGTGGTGCACACAGTGTTCCCCGCATGCCAATATTATTCATCGAAGCGGGAGCGGAAAAGGGTCTGCCAGCGCTTGTGTCCGCCCCTCTATGTGACGCGAGTCCGGACCGAGTTGCGTCTTGGGTTGTTCCGACCGCAAATGGAACGTAAGCACATGGCTCCACATCCAGACCGCAATGTGGTTTATGTGGTGCACAGTGGACTGCCTGGGTAAAAATGAACGAAGGCTTTGACTTTAATCCGAGCGTCGCTGGTCTTCAGATGCTTGCAGTACGTGCGGGGCTGGTACGCAGTGTTATTGCAAAAGTTTCACTGACAGCAGACTACGAATGAAGGGCTGTGGAGTCGTAGTGGCAAACTTGCGGACTTGGTTGATGAGGTCGGCGACAAAAATGCATGGATTTACCCAAAGCTTGGTGTCAAAACATATTGGCAGAAAATTTTGGTGACGGCCACGACGAAGTAATGGAACTCTGCAAAACCCGGCATGAGGTTTCCATGCACAGATATCATGTTACCATGACAACATATTTCGTCACGCAACACAAGCAAGCCTGTCTGTGAAGACGCCGTGGCAACGTAGTTACGTCAAATTAACCCTAAAAATATCTATGTTACGCCCGTGTGTGGTTGTACCCGAGTGAGCACAAGCTGCGTGTGTAATTGCGACGCTGATTTTGGTACTAGAAACAAACACGCCTTTTCCAAATATTTTAGATATTTAGAATTTAACAAGTTCTTGCTGTTTCTTCGCCTTGCGTTTGTCGTGGTGGAAACTGATTGATTACACTTATGAAGACATTCTCGACCACCACGGGGTGTGGGAGAAAATCGCAGCACTGCTCGCTCCCTCCCCCCCCCCCCCCCTCCCCCCTCCTTACACACACACACACACACACGCACGTACACGCTGCAACGGAGCCCTGGCTGCGCACCGAAAAGTAGGAAGGCGGGCTTTTGTTCATAGTGATCATGTCTTAAAATCTTTCAGCGCCATCAAACTTTCCTGATCTATGTCACATACTTTTAGTTATTAAGGTGATATGGCTGATTATGTCGTTCAATAAACACCCCACGCATATTGCCGTCCAAAGGCAAAACCCCATATGCTCATTTTTGGCCATTTTGAGTGCTTGAAGTTGCTTGATTTGTCTTCTCGAGCCGAATTCAGCTATTTCAAACAATGGTTGAAAAAAATGAATTCAGTTTGAGAAGATCAATGAAATGCCATAAAAACGCAAAATAGCCCAGCATAAACATATGGGGTTTGCCTACGGACCGCAGCGTGTTCTGCGTTTGGTTCAGAAGACCACGCGTTAAGGGGAGGCACGCTGCTATCTGTCAGCCTCCAGTCCGCAGATATTGAAATCTGACAGCATTCTGTTAATTTACAGAGCGCGATGGGGCTGTTCAAAATGGAACCAAGCCGAAACGTGACGTCATCTCGGGGTTTGGCAAGTCAGGGGCTCTCCCGATCGCGACATGACCGTTTCCGAGATTTGAGTGCATCATGCCCCGAGCAGGCACTCACCTTCATGGTGGACCGAGCGGAGACGACGTCGGAGGGGAGAGCACCCCGAGCTCCGGCTGAGCACGAATGGTATGTCTGCGACTCGTGAAGACAGGTTTTGTAAGCCAGATTAACCGGCGGCCGTTCCGCGGCCGGGGCTCGGGCGGGTAGCTCGGCGAAATGCGGCGACTTCTCCCGGCTGGACTGGTCTGGTGGCGCGGTGCGGTCGGCCGTGGCAGGGCTCGCACGGGGCAGATCGGGGAGATGCGCCGACTTCTAGCTGACAGACAGACTGACAGACAGACGGACGAACGGACTGGTTGGCAGGTGTCCATCAAGGCTTATTTAATATTATTGTTGTTCTGCAACAGACGCATATTCGTTGAGAGCTAAATATCCTTTCAGTCACACTGCATGATCTGCAAAACACAAACTTGCCGCATTGTTTTGACCTTTTCGAGATCAAAGATCGAATCTGCAGTGATGTAGTATCAACATGACTTACCAAATTGTCCTTGTTCAACGAAGTGAACGGAAGCCCGCGAATTTCTCGCGTCCTTTAACGGAGCAGATCAAAATTCATACCCATCAATACTTTCAATTACCTGGAAAATTGTTTGAAGGAAAATTGCACGAATTCTCATTCATACTGACATGTCAATGAATCTTCTTTGGACCCAAGAACGTGTCGCTTTTCAATTGCATAAGCTCAGCGTTAGTGTATTGAATTACCACACAGTATATGTCACACTTAAAGGCTCTGCTCCACATATATGTGGGGTTTTAAACTGAAATAGCCGCCTTGAAGACCTTCCGGTGCAGTTCACAGCCCTGCCGTTCCTAAGACATAACCTCACTGGTTTATGAGCTGCACGCCCGCGAAAATGTGGAGAGAATTTCGAGAGGAGTATTTCAAAGTCACCTTGGCATTCATCAAGACATTAAGAAATAAGGTCAACAAAGAGCGACAGGGGTCCATTGAGGCTGTCCTACATAAGGTTCCGCACACATTTTCGACCCCTAATCTTACCACCTGATCTTCCTGAATTTAGCCTGTAAATAGCATCCTTCGACCACTAGAACTTGTACAAACGGTTTTCAAATGCTGAAGGAGAGAGAGACTTCTTACAACTGGTTAGCAACCCATTCCAATGATTCGCTACTCCTTGGCTAAATGATTCCTGCCTTTTCGTAGTTGTACTCCTCCCTTTTGCCACCTGAACAAGGTTTCCTCTAGGTCTCCACCCGATTTCCAGTGCGCCTTGTAGATCTACCTATTCTGTCCCTTTTACAATCTTGAACAGCTTTATCAGATCCTCTCTATGTCCTGCAATAATCCAGTAGCTACAAATCCAAGGCCTTTAGCTTATCTTCTTCTCATCAAGCCTATCTAAGTTGCCAATCCCATTTGTGATCCTGATTGCTTTTTGCTGTACTTTTCCGGCATATCTCTATATTTTTGGAAGCATAGGGACCAAGCGTGTACATAGCATTCTTAGTGCTCTCTTACATAAGCTAAGCACAACTTTTTGACGACATGCCCACTTTTGTAGTGGGAATTACTTTCAAGAACAATCAGCATCCAAAGCGTCTTGTCCATAGCATCCCCACGTTTCTTTCCAGCCTTTAAATCCCTGGAAATGTATTCCCTAAGTCCATTCCTCCATCAGGTCAAACTGCAGGCCTCCCATTTTATAGCTAGTGTCCTCACTGCCAGAAAACCCAAATGCATCACCTCACATTTATCATAGTTAAATGGCATCTGCCAGTGAGAGCCCCAGCTCATTAGTCTCTCTCAGTCAGGTTTCACCTGACCAGTATTTTTTTGACGCCTCCATCAATTTGAACATCACCAGGAAATTTAAGCACGTTTTTTTCTCATCCTATCTGAGTATTACTCACAACAGTAGTAAAGATGAAATGGCCCAACGCTGCCCCTGTGGAACCCAACTCTTTACTACCTTCCAACGAAATTTAGTACCGTTGAGCACCACTCGTGGCTTCGTTTCTACTCTCAACACCTGAGTGCCCTTCAGCTATTTTTCACGCATTTTCGTCAAGGGAATTAATTTTTCCTGTCCTTCTAAAATATCCTTCAACACTTCCCACATCCGACGTGCTGTAAGTCCAGGAAGAAAAGTCTTCTCACTGGAAGTTAGCAAGAACGGCTGCAAGTCTTTCAAATCTACCCCGGCAAAATCTGAAATGAAGGTATGATTAGCGCTATCTAAATAACCAAGATGCAATGAAAACTTTACAATATAATGGTCACTGTTTCCCAGCGTCTCACCCACTGCCAAAGCATCCACCAACACCTTTCTCGTTAGTCATAACAAAATCCTATCTTTGATTTTCCCTAGTGAGTTTGCACACCAGGGGCTGAAGACAATTTTCTCCAAAACAAGCAAACTCACTTTCCGTCACGTTTGACAACTGACGTCGTAGCGGACACCTCTCATCGCTAGAATCTAGATTTGCCAGCAATCACAATATCTTTGATTGCTACGAACATTGCAGCTTAAGAGCTCGATGGCGAAATCTTACGTATATCCCTCTATGTGCCGTCTTTTTAAACCGTCGTCTTCTTCGATTTATAAAGCTTCTTGCAATTTGCGTCTTAATGCGTCATTCATGTGAGTTTGAGCTTGTACGTCAATGAGCCCTTTCGTATGTTCTGATATATACCCACTTTGTAAATACAGCCTTGCAACGACCTCAGCATCCAAGCTAACATTATTTCATTAAGTCAAAATGCTATAAGGAAGGAGTCCTTTTGCTAAAAACCGTAGGAAATAAGCCAAAAGCAATATTATGACACTAGTCTGATCCGCATCTTAACGATTAATCACCTAATAGTTTGTATATTTTTCGCTACATGTAGTCATTGAAAACCTCATACCATTTTGCACACGTCTTTGGTCAATTTGTGTATTGCAAAACTCACGTTATTCATTATTTGAACTCAATATCACGGTGATACTTATACGTTATCAAGATTATTTTTATACACTGGACGTTTTACATAACATACATTTTGAGAAAAGCAAGAAATAAGTCTTTTTCACAGTGGTAAGCAGGGAATCCAATGGCAGTTTCTCCCGGCGGAGCGGTTTCTTCAAATCAAAATTATGAGTTATTCAGAAGCATTTTTAGAAAACCGATACTCCATAATAAATCCCACGCGTCTGTTACAACTAAAACTGAAAAGTACAAACAAGGTAGGGCTTGCCTTCAACCTAGTGACCTCGGGTGCAGTCAGGATGTTCCAAGGGAGAGAGTGGAGGAAGCTGGGTGAGCAAGAATGACGACGAGTTTTAATTTTGTGTCGGAAACAGGGACGCATAGAAGGCGCGTGCACCCCGCCCCTTATGGCCTGAGGAGGCCTTTGGACCGCTCAGGAACGACGATGAAAAGCCCGATTGGAAGGCCCGAGGGGTGCATCAGGCTGACGGGAGGTCTTTTTCAGCGGCCCACGACCGCACGGGCGGGGGCTTAAATTTCAGTGAGAGGGTCTCTTGCCCCTAACATAGCCCTGGCACAATGAGTGCCTCTGAGCTGCTCAGAAAACACCAACCCACTGTTGAAAACCCGAACAAGGTCCGGGCTGCATACAGATTGACAGTAGTCCGTTACTGATGTGGTGTGTCTGAGCCCCGCCCGCGGGACATTCTCCGGCAGTCACGCTCTAAAGCGGTGAAATCTCAACCCACGACGCAACGTAGAGAGGCCCCCGAACGAGCGAGCGTGCCCGAGGAGGTTATCAGATAGGGCCTTGCATTCAAATAAGAAGTACCCAAAACCCACTGTGGAGGGCCTCCAAAAGATCAAGTGCACCCAAGCAGGCCTTTAGATGGCCCCCGACAGGGGCGTAAGCCCCTATATTCAGATGCAAAAACCCAACATGCAAGACCCCCAAACAATCCTGTGTATCTTACCGGGATAAGAGGTGGGGCCTCCGACAAATGCACTGAGCCCTCCATTCAAATGCGAAGCACCCAAGGCCCAATTTGGAGTGCCCCGAACAACCGAGTGTGCTCACGCAGGCTAACGGACTGACCGCTAAGAAGAGTTTAGGGCCCCAAGCAAGTGACAGAGGATTGGGAGTGCTCTAGCCCAATGTAGAGAGTCCATGAGCAAATCGTGAGTGTGTCGGTAGGTTGACCGTGACCAACGTGAAGGGTCCCTAAGCAACCGAAAATACCCCCGGCAGGTTAACATATGATATGGGGGCCCCCGACTCTAGCGTATAGAGCGTGTCCAGCAAATGAAAAGCATCCGTGGAAAAGGCCTTGACTGACAACAGTGACTGGGCATGCTGGAAGCAAGAGTCCCAGCAATAGCGCAGGGACCTCCGAGCAAATGCAAAGAAAGCCAGAGCAACGCAGAAAGCTCCTGAACAACCGGCTTGAGCATGCAAGTGAACATATAAGACCCCGGAGACAGCGTAGGACCTCTGGGCATCGTAATGAGAGGTAAAACATCTAAACAACTCCCTCTCTAACAGTGAATAATTATTTCTGTCTTCTCGTGAGCCGTTCACTTTCGCTTGCGGTTGTTCGTGGTTGCCTGGAGGCTCAAATACGCCCATTTTGTTGTGTTTTGTGCCAACAATGGCGTCTGTTCAGCTGGCTTTGGGCCCTTCAGAGCCTTTCGGACTCTTTCCTGTCCAAGGTGAAGGGGGTGCCGTGCCTCCGTGACCTCCCCCCCCCCCCATCTGGATCACCTTCTGGCAATGGCACGACTGTTTGCATCTGCAGTGACGTCGGGGAGCTGTTCACTGCGAAATCGTCAAGATATCATGGGTGAGGGTGAGCCTAATATCATGGATCAGGGGCGGAAGCCTGCTTGTCACGTGTGACAAGCAGGCTTGTTCCGCCTGGCTGACAGCTTTGTTTGTGTTTTCTGGCTTGTCTTTTGGGCACTCCAGGATGAGCAAATCGGACACAGGAATAGAAGGCTGCTATTTTCGAAAAGAATCTAAGCCGCCTCACGATGCCAAACGGATCTGGTCGCAGGTGTTTCAGCTTAGTCGTGGCTGAAATGCTCAGCGTGGTTGGTCCGGT